CCGGTACGTTATTCACGTAGCTGAAGTTGCGTACCTTAGTTCGAATTAGGGGGGTAGTGTAGACCAAGCCTTTGAGACAGTCTGATATAATCATTCACTGAAGTTAGTTACTCATTAAGTTGTTACATAATATTTATGTTGCATTAGTAAAGCCTATGTTTAAACCTCAGACAGTAGTAGCTCAGAGGGAACGCTCCTAAACCAAAGCTGACCCTAGCACTGGAGAATTATTACTCAGTTCCCATTCACCATGGCTAGTCAAGTCTGAGGCATACTCACCTGAACTCTTTCCAAGAGAAATAATTAGGGCTGCAGCCTATTTACAAGCAGTCCTATTCAACATGGAATTCAGGATGTGATTACCTAACATTTTAATGATCTCTAAGTAGAGAGCAATTAAATAAACACTTTCAAAAACAGCTAAAACCCTACCAAGTGAAAGGTCATGTCAAATATTTACAACAGGAAGACGGGACTTAGATAAACAGGAGAATACATATTTACCTATCTTCATTTTCAGTTCCATTTCAATTAAAGTCCACTAAAATACTTGAGTGTTAGATAACTTCTCATTCACCCTCTTTTCAGTTGTGATTAAGACTGTGCAAAATACCTAATCTCCTCCTCCCCAATCTAAACATCTGGACCACCTTGTCAGTACTGCTAAAGCAAGAGAAATCTGCAAGTATAAATACACCTTGGGATTACTAATGTGACAGCTCTAATAAATACTCCCCAGAGCATCTGCTGATCTAATAATTGGCACTAGAAAAATCACACATGCTTATCTACATGGCTATTAACTTTCATTGACTAAACATACTGGCAAGCCTCTGAACTGTGCCAGGCAATGGGGAAAAAAAAGAAAAGCAGGAGAAGTTGCAGCAGTTGCAGATTTATCCAGTTCAATCTCTATTTTTGGTATTTGTAAGGCATCTACCACCGTGCACCACTATCTAAACACCAATACCTGGTAATTTAAATATTACCAGGATGCTACTATTAAGAACTTCCTCTCTAAGTGTGGAATCTGTCAGTTTAACAAATCAGAGTTACTGTAGCTTTAAATGACAGGTTTCAGAGTAGCAGCCGTGTTTGTCTGTATCCGCAAAAAGAACAGGAGTACTTGTGATAAGAACAGGAGTACTTGTGGCACCTTAGAGACTAACAAATTTATTTGAGTATAAGCTTTCGTGGGCAACAGCCCACTTCATCGGATGCATGTAGTGGAAAATACAGTAGGAAGATGTGTGTATATATATATACACACATACACAGGGAACATGAAACAATTGGTGTTACCATACACACTATAAGGAGAGTGATCAGTTAAGGTGAGCTATTATCAGCAGGTGAGAAAAAGAACTGTTTTTGGGGTAATGAAAATGGCCCATTTCCAGCAATTGACAAGGAGATGTGAGGAACTGTGTGTGTGTGTGGGGGGGGAGAAATAAGTTCCTACTGTATTTTCCACTACATGCATCTGATGAAGTGGGCTGTTGCCCACGAAAGCTTATGCTCAAGTAAATTTGTTAGTCTCTAAGGTGCCACAAGTACTCCTGTTCTTTTTGTAGCTTTAAATGTATCCCATGAAAGGGAAAAAAAACCACCTTATTCGAACTCTTCAAATTCCCATCTCTCTACCATCCAGTCAAAATGCCATTTTATTTTACAATGCACAGCTTTCTCTAGTTGGAAACACATTGGTCTGGGTAATGCTCACAATAAGGAGACTCCTTGGGTATTTGACAGGCTGGGCTATATTTAGTTTAGGATCACAAACATTTTTTATCTCCAATTCTCTCAAGACTTTGATTTGGCATTTGGGCTTCTAAACGTGGTTCCTGGGCTTCCTTAGAAGTTTGTTAGTTGTTAAACCTGAACGCAACTGACATATACTAAAGGGATCCTTTCCTGGCATTTTCAGTTTAAATAATTGTTTATGAAACTGACAATTCTTGGAGAGACGGGTCTGTCAGCTAAGATTCTGGAAGAGAAACTTCATGGCTTTTTTGCTCTCTGAATGGTGGACTGATAGGAATGGAGAAAAAAAATCAACTTAGCTAGATACGATTCATAAAGACTCAAATCAAAGCGGTCCTAATTGTCGTCGTTCAGGGAATACAGGGGAGGGAGAAGGAGAGAATATAAGGTTTTAAATGCAATTCTTACAGAAGTGGATTCCTGTTGATTTTAATTTTTTGAAATCTTAACAGAGACAAGATTTCAGACTTTTTTTTAAATCCTCAGAATGTAGGATTCTGATTTGAGGTACTATTATTTGTAGTTCAATAACAC